TAGAACATTAATCAATTATTGTAATTATCCGCAAAATTAAACGTGCAAACGTTAGACATTTTTTTTTCAGTATATTTTTTAACAGGATGTGCGAGATGTCTCAATTAATTGCCGGTGTTTTAATTTGATCGCTTATTAATTTTTACCCCAGAACGTGTAAAATTAAATAATCGATCTTTCTAATGTTTAACCACTCTGCCCCGCTTTCCGAGTGAATTTTTATATTTACTTATTATCCCGGGTAAAGGATATTTTAATTAATTAGCGAACAAAACCTGACGTTTAAAAGTAGGGGTAATTCTTTCTCGCCGCTAATTTTCTATACTTCAATGGTAAATATCTCCCGAGAGGATTTATTTGATCGCAAAAAAAAAAATTAAATCGAATTATTTAATGTTGGAAATTATTAATTAATATTTTTTGTAAGCTTTGAGATGTAGAAATATAAAATATTATTGTCCTACTTTTTTTTCTTGAGAAGTTTGGAATGGGATTTTAATTTTGCAACGTTTTACTTAAATAAAAGTCGTTTGAAGTAAATATTTAAATATCAAAATTTATAATTTAATGACTGAAAGTAATACATTTTTGTTTTCACGTCTTATTATTATTTTTATTTATTCTTTCGGGAAAATGAATTTATTATATTTCAGTGCTTTAAGTAGAAACACACGAAGGGTGATACGTTTTACTTTTTTCTGTTGTTATTTCTTTAATTAGTTTTTGTTAGCTCGGGTTAAATTTATGTTCTGGATTCTTGATTGAAATCTATTGATTCTGATTAGAATCGCGTTGATGATTCGTTTTGTGCGAATCAAAGTTCGATTAGAAATCGAATTTTTTATCTGTTGGTTCGGTGTAATTAATTTGAAGACTGGGCAAAACATTATTCGAAAATGTTTTTGCTTTTTTTAAAAATTGATTTAAATCATATGCTGTTGTTTTTTTCATATCACATATTAAAGCATTAATTTGAATCGAAAATACTTTTTATGCAATCAGGGGTCTGTTTAAAACAAATTTGGGTCCGTTAACGGACTCTTCACAAAATATTTTAACTCAAAAACGGACCCTTCACAAAATAATTTTTCTTTTAATCGGACCCTTCACAAAATAATTAATCTTTTAATCGGACCCTTCACAAATTTGTTTATCTTCATTATTGTTTTGTTAATCGAATAAACCCTTCCCGAAAGACAGATGTAAACGAATTAAGTTTCGTCTTCGGCAGACGCTTCCTTTATTCGTCCGAAATGAATATTCTGCGTTCAGCAGTATAGGCTAAATACCAAATATTTGTATGTTGCATCTCTAATTTTGAAGCAGTAATTGCTGTTTATTTTTAAAAATTAATTTTTTTTTATTATAATTTTGCAGTGCTGAGCATAATCTTGTATCTATTTACAATTTAAAAACTCCTTGAAAAAGTTTTTTGCATTAACCGGACCCTATTTGCACAAATTCATAAAAGCAGGACCCTGGTTGAAAGAATGTGACTTAACGCTTATTTTATATTCACAAATGAAGAGTAATTTTTTCACTATGTTACAAAAACGGACCTTTCACAAAATTTCTGGACAGACCCCTGGCAATATAATTTATAAGCATATTCTTAAGGGTTTATTTTTTATTTTATTTTTTTATTGTAGGGTTTTTATTCATTGATGAAGGTTTTATCAATAAAAAAAATGAAACGTGTGTTTGCAAATTATTATTTGACGTTTTAAATAAACTAATAAATAAAAGAAAAACTAAATTTGGATGAAAGTAATGCGATACTTCTAAATTAAAATTTTCCATAAGCTTTGTATCAATTAATTTGCTGTTTAATGAACATGTTTCAATTTTACTTATTTAATTTTAAATATATTTAAATGCACGTACTTTTAAAACTTAAATGTGTAGTTAGTGTATATGTTACCGTCAATGACCGAATTCAAGAGAATGTCGACTTTCACCGGTGAATGTCAACAATCACAAAGTCGATTTGGTGAATTTCCGAAATATTTGTTATACCCGATTTGATATTAATTTGTTCGTTGATATTTTTTATATTTATTCGATATTTTGATATCTGCAGATGATAGATTAAGGGGAACATCAGTGTTCGGAGTACCGGTTAAATGCATACTTAGCAGTAGTTCATGGCCTTAAGAAAACATTGATGTAAGGCATACCGGGCAGTAACGCTGAACCTTTAAAAAAACATTGATGTTGGGTATACCAGGCAAATATATACCGGGCAGTGGCACTTAACTAGAACTAGTATATATTTCGAACATTTACCAAAGCGATTGTCAACATACACCGGTGGAAGTCAACAACCACAAATTTCGATCATTCTTAGTAGCATATATAAATAATGAAATTTAGTTACAATTTATGAAAGTGTACAGCTTGAATAAGAGTTATTATGATTTTATTCAATGGCTAGTTTGCAGAAATTTAATAGTAATTTTTTAATACATAGTATTATTTTTGCTATATACTGATATTGCTGATTATTTACAGCGCAAAACAATATTGTTTATATATAATATTGTTTTAAGCAATAATAGAAGAACTGGGTGGTTGAAAAATCTTACAAGTATACTCAAACTAGAACTAATGCGGATTGGTTATGTCAAAACTACCGTGAAATCAAAAGCAATTCAGCTACATTAAATATACCCAGATTGATGCGACTACTTTATGGTATTTTCCCTGATTAATAAATATACTCCCAAAAATATCACTTACCTGTTTCAGCCTCTAAGCTCTTCAATAGTGTTATAAGTTTTATTAATAAATTTTATCGGAATTTTAGTTAGTAAATGTAAAAAGTACATCAGATTTAAATAAAGCAAAAATCCGATTTATATTTTTAAAAAAAATGATTTTTGGTTACTCTATTTACCAGAAAAATTATAAAATGTGAGACGTTCTAGGACTTCTTTTTTTTTTTTTTACTTGTGAAACGGGAAAAATCCACTCAAAATTGAGTGGCTAATGTTAACTTTTTAGCTATTATTTTGAATAATGTATTTATATGAGAACTAAGTAATAATAATCAGAAAGTAAATAATATATTACAATATTTGTTGTACATGAAAAAAGTTGCCCAATTTCGTGTGAAATAAACACTCTGAAAATACTTTTGCTTTAATGATTGGATTTTCACTGAGATTTAATTTATGATCCTAGTGATCTACTTTAGTTTTTCTAAAAATGTAGAACGACATTTTTAATTCGATAGTCAGACTCGTAAAACTTGACTTTCTTTAAATAAAAATAAATTTTTTTCGAGACAGTATTTTTAACCTTCAAAGTAAAAGTAATTCTAGTAAATATGATCCAAATAGTTTAGTTTAAGGATGCCTGCACAACAATTTTTGGAAGTGGGCCGCAGAAAAATCATTGGGCTGAGGTGACTAAAGGAAAAGAACGTTAGAATGAGGTGAGCCAGGTTCGAATCTCAATGGTGGCTTGTTGAGACGATTTCTTCATCTGGCTCGCACCTGCTACGGTGCTAATGTAAAATATCCTCAGTGGTAGACGGATCTTGGGTTAGAATCCTTTTGACATTGGGTTAATCATGGGAGGTTTCAGTGGATTTCTTCTCCATATAACGAAGATATGGGCTACAAAAAGTCCTTCGCGAAGGCTAGTTTCTCCTAATGTTTGATCCAGGAGTTCGTTTGTCTTCTGGGTTTTCAGTGGTTGAGTTCAAAATTACAAGTTTGCGGAATTGAACTTTGATAGTCGTAAACACAGAATTGAGTCGTCTGTTCAAAATAAAATTATAATCCTCTTTCAATGATAATTTTATTTTTTACTCAGTATAAATTACTCACCACTTTAATTTTATTGAATTCTTAAACTACATTAACTTCAAATCATATTTTGGTTTTAAAAAAAAGTCTTAACTCATCACCCGTCTACCATGTGAGGATATTTTACTTTAACACTGTGCGAGCCGAGCGTGGAATTCGTATCAACCAGCCATCACTGTGATTCGAGCCTGGGTCACTTCGTTGAGAGGCGAGTGCTCTATCCCTTGATCCACCATTGCTCAACTCATTGGGTTTGAGGAAAAAGTGGCTACTAAATTATTTGTATACCGGCCACTGGCTACTTACTGAAAGTTCAAACTTTCAGTTCTACTTTAAAATGTACTTAAGAAAACTTTTTAGTTTTAAGCATAAATTGTTTGACCTGTCTGTATAATGTATGTAGCATTTAGATAAAAATAAACATGATTTCAAATATTGTAAATATTCTGTACAAGTTTCATTTTTTTTTTTTTTTTCTTTTAAAATTTTTCTTTATGTTTGAAAAAATAAATAAACTTTGAAAATATGTTGTTAAAGTATCAAATTTTGTTAAATCGTATTAAAAAAATTTAATTAAACTCTCATTCAAGTTTAATTGCATTGTTTTAAAAATTTGATATTTAATTTTAGTAACAAATAAGGTTTCTTAGAAAATTTTGATAAAGCTAAGATTTATCATAAATTTAATTTTAAGTGGTTTTCTAAAATAATAGTTTTAATTTAAACAAATTTCTGTTATTTAATTATTATGTATCAATAATCTTTTTTCTGTTGTTTTGATATATTCTAATTTACTTTTTTAACATTTACTTATTACCGAAATAAAAATAATAATTTTTTCAGAGAATGCAAAAATCAATCTCAAAATATTAATTGATTTATGTAAGAGTAAAAAAATTTTATCATTACTATGTTTTTTTTTTTTTTGTTTGTTTGTTTTTTTTTTAATTTATTAGTTAATTTTTGTTTTAATATTCTTGCATTCCATTCATTCAGGAATGGTGAAGAGGCTGAACTCTCGTGGCTGAACGAAAAATTTCTAATTAGTGCTGCCATCTCTTGGAGTCAGACGAATTTAAATTTTTGATTAACAATTTCTATTTTTCGAATTTGCTTTAAAACTTCATGAATAAATATGTAAATATTTAGTTATTAGTAAATCCTTATGATTTCTTTTTACTTTTACAGCACCACTTTAAAATGGCTGAACATTCCCGAAACAGGCTCGCCTTAAATATATAAGAAATTTGCTTTGTTCCAACTACTGACGAAAACCTTTGGTAAGTGCAATAAATATATTTCATTCTAATTTATTAATTGTTAAAAATTGTTTTATTTGCTGACTGTTTCAATAAGGAGTTGGGATGTTATTTTCAAGTTAGAATGATTTTTTTCTTACAGATACATCTACATATGAATGTGAGGTTAATGTGTATTATTTATTGTGTGCGTTTTTACTCACACATAAATGCATGATTATCTTTAAAGTAACATCCGCATTAAACAAGAAGCGAATATTACAATTATTTGAGTCTTAAAACAATAATCACGTAGGAAACATTTTTTTTTTTTCCGTAAAAGCAAAGCATTTCATTTAAAACGATTTTTTTTGTTACTGTTTTTATTCCTTTACTATTTCTTGTTATAATTTATTTTAACTTTTAATGTTTAAAATTCTCTCTGTATATTTGCCCTGTTAAATAATGTTTACAGACGAAAATCATTTTTCTGTTTATTTTCTTTTTTATTTATAATTTAAAACTCACAAATTACTGTCTAAAGTTTAAATCTACTATTTAAAGTTTGTTTTATTTAGATTAACTGTGATTCCCTTTATTTATCGTGTAAATTTATTTAAAATTGAGAGCTGTTATAATTTAATCTAATTTCATTAAAAAAAATTGTGGCTAGTTTACTTTTGAAACTTTAATTGAATAAGAAAAATTCTGCCAAGATTCTTTTTTATTTAAACTTAGAAGCTGTAAAGTAATTATTGAAAATTATAGAAAATATTGAGTTATTAAAAATTATTGAAATAGATTTGGAAAAAAATCAGTAAAATTATTTTTTTTTTTTTATAAAATTTAAAATGAAATGAAAATTTTGAGATGATAAGAGTCTTTACTGATGTATTAGTATAGATGAGTAGTGAAAGTAATAATGTTTTGAAATGTATTGTTATGATTTAATTTTACTAATATTTTTATTATAATAACATTTATAAAATTTGCTAATTATAAACTGAAGTTTTAAAGGTATCTTTAAGAAAATCAAAGAATTCAACTTAAATAAGAAAAGTATAATTTATTTCAAAAATATAACAAATGCTTTTTTTTTTGTGACATTACAAAACTGTACCTTATTGTACACATTCACGAAAACAATTCTCTGGTTAAATAAAGCACCATTCTTTGTGAATTTTAAATTCACAAAATTATGATAAGATTGTTCACACAAAAAAAAGAAACTCATCCCCGGATACAGAAAGGTACATTAACTGGACTCTAGAGTTATGATTTTACCTTACCGGAAAGAACGCGGGGTTGGGTTTTATCGAATAAACCCTTTAAAAATACCCTAATAGGTTTTATCATTATTCAGTTTTATAATTTATAAAATAAAATATAAACTGCATGCATTACAATCCACTATTTTTATATTCTGCGCTTTAAAATTTCTAATTAACCTTTTTAAAACCAATATTATTAATGATTGCAAATAATATACTAGGGCATTTTCTCAAAATGCCTGACACACGAATTCACAATGCAATCGAAATTACAGGTATATATTAAATACTATTTCCCCAACCTTATTACATACAGTTACAGGTGATATTTTTAAAACATAGTACCTTTCAATTTTTAACTAGTGAAATAGCTGTTCCAAAATTCTTGTTCTGATGTATTCCTTGTTATTGAAATACTAGAGCTAATTCTAGAATATTTCTTTCGCTGTATACAACATAGGACATAATAACATAGTTGGTTAAGTAGTGCAATACACCATTGTATAAATACATTTTTCATATTAAAAATTTTCTTTGAAAATTGATTTCTTTCATTTGAATTTACATCAATAATTTATTTCTTCGCTTAAACATTTATTAGTTTTTTATGATTCTAAAATAGATAGGTTAATCCTACAATGGTAATTAGGTCCTATTACTGTAATTAAAAATATTATTGTAAATGACGTTCATAATAAAATGTATTAATAATTATGGTTGTTAGGGACTTGATTGTTAATTAAATTAATGGTATTTATTAATACAGCAAAATCTAATTTAAGACTATAAAAAAAATTTTAAAAATGATTAAAAACTTAAATGTGAAAAATAAACCGAATTAAACTCTGAAAAAACCTACTGAAACTCGGAAAAAAATCCAGTGAGTGGGGTTTTTTTTTCTGGAAAAACCTGGGTTTTCTTACAACCCTGCTGGACTTAGATAAAAATCGAAATATTCTACCAAACTATGGATTCTTTTCTAACTGAGATTCTCTATCAAAGCTTCTAAAGTTCAAACCAAACTATCTCCAAGTCCGTTATGTACTATTATGATGAATTTCAAATCTAATGCAACTCGCAATCAATTGAACCACGTATATTCTCTAGCCAGCTGTGTTGCACAAACTGCATCACTAACCATTCATCAATTTCCTCTCCTCACCTCCTCCCTCCCTCCTCCTTAACATGTCGGCCCGTTCTGGGTCCGTCATCGGTGGTTTTAAGGCATCCATCTATTCATTAGCTTTCCTGGACATTCGATTCATGAATCATGTTGCCCTGTCCACCCCAGGGCGGAGAACTGATTGGCAGTCAAATAAACCGACCTGCCACAACGTCAGCTGACCTAATTGACCGCCTCTGTCAAAGGGCCGTTTAAACCGGGAGGAGAGAACTTGTTATGTAATTTTAAGAGCAATTCCTTCCCCCCTCTCTCTTATGCTAATTATTGAAATTCTGAACTGATATCTTACTTTAACCCATAGAATAAATGGTTTAAATCTCTGTGTTTAAATGGAGTGGAACGGCTTCCGCAGATTTACTAATGAATCGATAGGTATTGTTTTGAGAGATCAAATTTACTTAGTTGAGTTGTCGATAGCATAATTTAATTGGAATATTTCTGAATATGGTTCTTATATACTAAGGGAGCACGTTCTTTTCGGAAGAAAGCCGCTGAAAAAAATTATCTTTTGGGGGCTACAATATATCAATTGGGGATATTTTAATTATTACTTAGCGAACTGAAAACTATATCTATTTATCTTAAAAATAAAATTATCAATCACGGCAAATCATGTGTAATATTTAAAGTGTGCTTATAATATTTATAAAAAAAATGTTTGAAATTTTGCACACTTTGTTAAATTGTAGTACGTCTTTTACTTCATTAAAAATTCAACAGTGGTTAAATTAATTCTGTGTATAAATAACTTATAGAGCAATACTTACAAACTTTTAATTCTTAAATAAATTTTTGAATTTCATTTGTTTGAAACTTATTATATTTATTTATTATAAAACTTTTTATATTTATTTATTATATAACTTATTATATTAAAATTATACTCGCTATTACCTAACTTTATTTTTGTTTCAGGGTGTTATTATTTTAAATATTACTAAATACCCTTCAAAGTTGTTTTATTAACATACAAAAATATCATATCTACTGATAAATTACTAGAAATTAAAAAGAGATCATAAATAATTCAATATAAAGCAACATAATGTAAAACTTTGTGCAGAATGATGTTTTTTTTTTGTATCGAATTACTAATATTGTTTTCATTAAGTTGCATTTTTTCACCTATTACCTCTTTTAGGTTTTCACAATAAACTCCAATTAATCCCAGGCCAATATTTATGTTGATTAAACCGGTTTGTGTTTACATAATGATGTGGGAAGTATAATCTACTGATTTTAACTCAAATTATTTGAACTTACAATAAATTCGCACTTTAACAATCATTCATTTATGGATTATTCCTTAAAAACTACAAAAAAGAATTAAAATTAATGGAATATCTGGAATAAAAAACATCGGTAAAATTCCTGTTAAGCGTTTACTTTATTGCATTGGTGAAGTTGTTTTCTCCTTTAGGTAACTGTAGTTGCAGAGTAATGGATTTACAGGGATCTAATCATTTCTAGAATACTACAAGAAGCATTTATTAAATAAGGTCTACAATCTGGAACTGCGTTAAAATTCCCCTGAAAGTTTACTTTATTGAATGGATGAAGTTGTTTTCTCCTCTCGATAAGAGTAATAGATTTAGAGGGATCAAATTATTTCTCTACTACTACAAAACACATTCCTGATTTAAATGAATAAGATCAGTTGTCTAAACCGCGTTAAAATTCTTCTGAACGTTTACTTTATTGAATAGAGGAAGTTGTTTTCTCCTCTCTATAACTGTTGTTGCAGAGTAATAGATTTACAGGGATCAAATTATTTCTCTACTACTAAAACACATTCAATGATTTCAATGAATAAAATCAGTTGTCTAAACCGCATTGAAATTCCTCTGAAAGTTTACTTTATTGAATAGAGGAAGTTGTTTTCTCCTCTCGATAACTGTTGTTGCAGAGTAATAGATTTACAGGGATCAAATTATTTCTCTACTACTACAAAACACATTCAATGATTTAAATGAATAAGAGCAGTTATCTAAACCGCGTTGAAATTCTTCTGAACGTTTACTTTATTGAATAGATGAAGTTGTTTTTTTCTCTCGATAACTGTTGTTGCAGAGTAATAGATTTACAGGGATCAAATTATTGCTCTACTGCTACAAAACACATTCAATGATTTAAATGAATATCATCAGTTGTCTAAACCGCGTTGAAATTCTTCTGAACGTTTACTTTATTGAATAGATGAAGTTGTTTTTTTCTCTCGATAACTGTTGTTGCAGAGTAATAGATTTACAGGGATCAAATTATTGCTCTACTGCTACAAAACACATTCAATGATTTAAATGAATAAGATCAGTTGTCTAAACCGCGTTGAAATTCTTCTGAACGTTTACTTTATTGAATGGATGAAGTTGTTTTTTCCCCTCGATAACTGTTGTTGCAGAGTAATAGATTTACAGGGATCAAATTATTTCTCTACTACTAAAACACATTCAATGATTTAAATGAATAAAATCAGTTGCATAACCGCATTGAAATTCCTCTGAAAGTTTACTTTATCGAATGGATGAAGTTGTTTTTTCCTCTCGATAACTGTTGTTGCAGAGTAATAGGTTTACAGAGATCAAATTATT